GGTGACCAGACAATTATGAGTTACAAAAGAACTAACTTCAGCGCTTGAAATAACGGCCGATCAACGATCAATCATCTGCTATTTTTAGAAAAATTTCAAAAAATTTAAGGGAAAATATCCTGTTTTTGTGAAAAAATTACATTTGATCGGCAAGCTTTGAAAAATTATTTCTAGCGCTGAATTTAGACTACAAACATGTTCACCATTTGTAGAATAATAGGGATGCTCACTTCCTTGTTTACTAATTTATAGCTGCTATGTGCTTCAAAAACATTTAGTACACTTTTTGTAAACTTCACTAACAAAATTTTATGGAACTCACCTTCTTTGCTTTATACTATTTTCAACTTCGAGGTTCGAAGTGTCTTCAGCCAATATTGCTTTCTGACGAGCCTCATAAAGTGAATCTAAAACAACTTTTTTTTTTTAGTAATAATGATTGTTTATGATTTAGATTGACTTTGATAGACTTGGTTAATCAGTTTAAATAAATGACAAAATTCAAATTTAAATACTGATAACTTGAAAAATAATCTACATCACAAAACAACTTTATTTTTTAACCATATATAAGAGCCATGCAAAAAAAATATATAAATATATTTTATATAATTATAAAAACAAACAGTTACCAGCAGTAAACAAAATTCGTGCTTTATAAGTGGGCCAATTCAAATCGGCCTCTAAACACCGACTTTTTGCCTTAGAAATACTTTCTGGATTTTTTAGTGGAGGCCAGTAAAACTCGACTATATGATGCTTTTTAATTCGCATAGGAATATCACTCATTAAGGTACCATCAGCAATCCAGTTTAATGGAAGAAAATCCGTTTCATTACTTTCATCAAATGAAACATTTGCATAAGACATTTTAATCTAATAAAATAGGCATCACAATCAACCATAGCATAATTTTTATAAAATGGTCAAGTTTAAAGAGTAGTACACTATGTAATAAACAGGAATGTAACAAACAAGTATTTATTTATTATTAGGGTAAATACTGCAGTATTTACCCAAAGTTATTTGAGTAGCTACTACTCTTATAACTTTTGATGCAGTATACTGCAGCAAAAGTTTTAAAAGTAGTACATGCAAATGCATATATCCATTTATACTATAGTATGTAATACAAAGGATGCAACAATTTAAAAATATGTAATAAAAAAAGTAGAACACAAATAAAAAAGCAAGTAAATAAATTTCATAAAATTTTATTAAAGTTAGTAAAGATGCATTTGAGGAATAATTACAAATTCATTTTTAAATGGTAACTGTACATATTTACAATCTAAATCTGCAATTGGAAAAATTGAATTAAAACAGGATAACTTCTCTGCAAAAAAAGTCAGAGTTCATTGGATCTGCAAAAAACGGTTGTAAAAGTTCATACTTTTGAAAAACAATATAAGCTTCATTGCACTCGCTATTTGGAACTTGTAAAAAATTTCTTATAACACCAACTTTCCCGGTTACTTTAAAACAATCATTAATTGAAGCAAAAAACTTAGCACTATTAAATTTCTTAAATTGTAAACAGTGACGATATGATAAGGGAACTGGACCTTCAGTGTGAAGCTTTTTAAAAACACTTATTTTCATTACAAACTTGATTAGTTGGATTCAAATGTTCTTCAAAAATACTTCTCACAATTTGAAAGCACAAGAACTGAGGTCGCCGCACAAGCTTTTTCAATCTTCCAAGATAACTTTCATATGGAAAAGAAGAGACTTTATCCAGAGCACCGTAATGATTAACATCATCTGGCAAATGAATTAAGGAGTGAATATTATAAACGCACTGATCTTTCCCATATAATTTACAAAATGTAGCAACAAAATATTTTAGCAACTTTTTAACATAATCAAGATAATTTGCACAAAGCAATGGACTTAAAAGAATACGTACAGCAACAGATAAATCCAAAAAGTTTATATAAACATCATTTGGCAATATACCTTTCAAAACTACTGGACCAGTATATAATAAAAACTGGCGTAATTCAGTAGCTTTCCAGCGTTTAAATTCCAATATTGAGCGAGGTTTGCGTGAAAAATCTTTTGGTACATGCTGTTTAAATAAAACAAGTTTTTCAGATAATGTAGTTAACGATGTTTTGGATAAACATTGTTTCTTTTTACTTCCATGCACCCATTGATTAATCATTCTTTTAACTACTCCTAAGCATACCAAATGCATATAATCGAGTGGAAAAGATGAAACCATTCCAAATGATAATTCTAAAAATGGAGAGATAGTGTTATCAATGTGATGCTTCTTATCTGCTTGCATGCGAAAACCTTCATCAGTTCTAAGTGGAGCCTGATAGGTTAGGAAGAAGAATTTTTCCATACCATTCACCTTTTTGAATACATCGCTCACAGCTATGATATGCAGTATGAGATTTAATACACTTTAAAAATGCTCTTGCAGGGACATCACAAATTACTGCATCTAGTTTGATGATATATTTACGACCATAATTGTCTTCAAATGGCGACTTTTCTAGACATTTCAATTCTGCAATAAAGTCTTTCAAATAAGCAGTTAGTGGATTAGGCTTACTGCTACTGCAAAATATGGCAATTGGGAAAACATTATCTGAAATTTCCTTAAAACTGCCAAGAATAGGCCAAATACATGAACTAGAACTTTTAAAAATTGAAATGCCATCAATGTTAACATGCAACTTAAGTTCCTTTAATTCTGGATTTGGAGAAACCTTTGTTAAAAACTTAGATAACCAATATTTAATACCGAAATAAAAGTACTCTCCTCCTGCAACATTTTTTATATCAATTTTTCTTTGAGTATGATGAAGAGTCCTAGCATCTTTTGGTACACTTGGAACAGTTGGTTTCAAAATCTGCAGTAAATGTGTAGTTGCATTTTGAGAAATATTAAAAGAAATTGCCCAATTTGCTAAATTTTCATTGAAACTTGTTAAATTGGGGTCATTACTTTCAGAAAAAATAGTTAAACCATTATCACTGTTATCATCATCAGCTATACCTGACATACAAGCATTTTTGTCTGAATAACAATTATTTACTGTGTTTATTGCATTTACATGGAACTGAGTCTTTACGTCGGATGGATGATTCATGCTTTTATTAAATGTTGCAAATTCATGAATAAAATTATTTTGATGACTAGTAAAATTTGCACTTGTAATAGTTGCATGTGTGTTACTAATACTATCTGATAAAGTGCAGCTATATTGGTGATCATTTGATCTTAAGTCATTTTGATTTTCAAATTCATGTTGAACTTGTGATAGCAGTTGAGATACGGCAGTGTTTATTTTTCTACGCTTAGTGTGATAATTATACGAATAAGGCATCAAACTATCCATTATATGATTTTGTATTCTATATTTATACTTTATTTTGAAGAATTTAAAAAATGTATTTAATAAATAAATGTATTTAAACAGACTGTGATATTTTTATTAAAAAACCAATAATTTTGATTTTTACTTGCTACTATTTACAAATAATTCACAATATAAACAGTTTAACCCTTTTTTTTTAATTTAATAAAACTTATTAAGTTATCATAGTATATTATATTATATACAACTTATTAGCAGTTAAATTATTTAAAAAAAAAGTTAGGTTACTTATAATATCAGTTATAGTATTTATAATATAAGTAATATTATTAACTATATTATATAACTAATAATATTACTCAAAGTATAACTTTTTTCTTTTACTTTTTTTATATACGGTATAATTTATAGAAAATGTGATTATATTCGTATAACTTATATGATTACATGATATCATCATATAATGTTTGAATATTTCAAACATTAGGTTTTTGCTTTTTATATTTAGGATCAATTAACAGGCATGTTATGAATCATAACATATACAACTAAATATAGTCTATACGAGGGAAATAATTTAATCATAAGTTAGATTCTATATTATAGAATCATAATATTTATATTATAGAATCATAACATTCTATATTATAGATATATCATCTATATTACAGATGATATATTATTATAGATATCTTTTTTTATATTATAGATATCTATTATTATAGATATCTATTTTATAGACATCTATATTATAGATGATATATTATTATAGATATATCATCTATATTATAGAATCATATCATTCTATATTATAGAACCATAATATGTCATAAGTTATGATAACTTATGTCATATATGGCATTTGCCATGTACTGTCATATATGTGATACATGAAATAATTTATTCATAACTTAAGATTAAGTTATGCAAAACTTAATCATAAGTTATGATTAAATTATTTCACTGCATATTCTAAAAAAATAATACAACATCCTGTGATAAGAAATTGAAATGTTTCATCCAGTTTGGTTACAATTTAGAACATCAGAAAACTTTTATAAACAATGAAAACATCAGAGAAATTTTTACATCAAACAATTTTTTTTAAACGATGCCAACTGCTCGTGGTAAGCAAAAAAAACGCTACCATTGTAACATTTCTCACTAAATCCCAGTCGTAAACCATTCAGGAAAGGCATACGCCAATCCCAGCATAATCCCATGCCAATCCCAGAAATCTTAGATTTTATATTTATATATTTACGGCGATATTTTTACACCATATGGGACCCATCTATTACCCAAATCAAATCCCAGCCGTAACCAAGTCCCAGTAACCCAGCTATATCCCTGCTGGGACCCAGCTGTCATGGTTAACTGGGCGAAATAGGTGATAAAGTTTTAAATAGTTTAAGAACAGACGTATCTGATTGCGGTGAATATATTTTAACGTTTAAATATCATAACGAATATTTGTGTCAAATGATCACTGGAAATAAAGAAATTGGACATGCAAAAATTTTTACTTTTTTGGGTGGCTTTATTATAGACTATAACGTTATTTCTAAATTGTATATTATAAGTCATGTAAATAAAGGTGATTTATATGTAGGCTTTGAATTACCAATAATAAATTGTTAAAAAAAAAAATTTAATAGTGTTTTTTTATTAATTTTTTTATAAAATAAATATATAAGTAGAAAAAATATTTTTTTTAAATTAATATAAAAAAAATGGATTTTAAAACTTGTCTTAAGAAATTTTATGAAACTAAAAAAATAACTGCTCTTCAAGGAGATAGTAGTTTAAGCACAGTGACGGGTGATTTTAAATTATTCTTTCGTTTGGACGGTAGCAATCAAATTAAAGTAACTCGTTCAAATAATACAGCACATGTTGTTTTTATTTATGATTATTATTTAAACGACGAACTAATAAAAGATCAAAAAGAATTCGATATGCTATATGAAGAATTTGTTACTGCTATAAAAGATTCAGTATCAATATGGTTGTTAGACGAAAAAGCATAAAAAGAAAAAGACAATCTCGTAAAGCCCGTAAAACTCGACGTATTCTACGCGCTCGTGGGTTAACAGATTATGTTACACCTCAAAATATAACCAACGCTTTAAAAGTGGGTTCAGTGTTTTATGGATTAAGAAAAGCATGGAAATCTAAAAAATCAGTGCAAACCACACCTACAGTAGTACCCAAGTTTAACCCGTGTATGCCGCCAGATAAAAGTTTTGAAGTATATTAAAAAAACATGTATTTTTTTGTATACAAAAAATATTTAAATAAAAACATAATACAAATTAAATTGTTTATTTCTTGTTGATTCTTGACGACTTTGAAAGTTTTTGTTTTTTTTTTAATAATAATTTTTATGTTGCCGTTACAATGATTACATATATTTTTGCCAGTTTGAATTGGTATCATTATGTTTTTAGGTAAGTAACGTAGCCAAATTTCATCGTTATTTATATTTGCTTCGCATTCTTGTAATATTTTTGTAAATGTTAGATCTTTTATTGTAAATACGTAAAACTTGCCGGGTCCATTAAACTTTTCGCATATTTCTTCGTACGTTTTTTCTTTTATTGGACATAAAGCGAGTCGTTGCATTTTTTTTTTGATTATGACAAATTCATCATAATACCGTTTTTTATTTGTTTTTGAGTCATGACATCATCAGATGGGTTATTTATGAAATTGTTTAAATCTTTTAATCTTCTGTAATTTAGGGAGTAAATTTGGTCCATTTCTTCTTTTTGTTTTAAATATGGGTTTTCTTCGTTCATAACATCTCGAATGGCAATAACGTCATGTATAGATAATTTGTCCCATTGACTTTCGTAATTGGTTCTTAATAACATGGCATCGTTTAAAAAATTTTTAATTTTGTTATTTGTAATAACTTGCTCTTCAAATATGTCATGTTCGATTGGAATTTGTTTTGTTTTCATAAACAATAGATTACGTTCCAGTCTTTTGTTTTCTCTTAAATAGAGGTGTAGTTTCATATCTTTTTCAAAGAGTTGTTTAGCTGTAGAGTCCAAGTGTGTAAACAATTTGTTTTTAATAAAGTTAAAAAATGGCAAAAGATTTATCTGGGCTAATTCAGAAGCATAAACTGTCAAAACATCAAATAAATGATAATTTAGCAGTCTGCACAACAAAGGTAAATAAATTTGTCCACTGTATATGTAATCTTTTTCGCTAAATAAAAGCGAAATAAAATAAACTGCAAAAGCCCCACATAAACTACTGTTGTTCCATTGAAAACATGTTTTGTTATAAGAAAACAAAATGTTTTGTTCTCCTGTCATAGAACTGTATTTTAAAATAAATTTAGTAAACCGATAAAATTCGTGATTGTCAGCTGTCCATTTGTATGGAAAATGATGAGTTTGTCTGATGTAAGAACTAATTTCAATTTCGTTATAGTTAATGTTGATAGTGTTAATTTGTACGTTAGTTTTAACTTCTTCTACAGCTTCAAATAAATGTCTGTTGTATCTTAAAAAACTAGGAATTTGTTGAAGACAATTTTCAGTACCCAAACTGTCAAAACAAAAAAAATGATTAGAGTCCACTTTAAGTAAAAGTCTCCAATGTTCACCTTTTTCTTTAGTAGTTTCGTTGTTATATACAAAAAAGGAACCATTTTTCAACTTCTTCTTTTGCTTTGTTAGATTAGACTAGTTCTTTTTTTAAAAAATTAAGTTGAGCTACTGGTTTCACAGGCACTTTTGAATATTGATTTTCTTTCAAATCTCTTTCGCGAGATAAATCAACTAGCCACAATGTAGCGGCGGCCATATCACCGTATTTTAATAGTTTTGCACAAAGCAATAACTAATTTCAATATCGTCTTGTTCCATTTTTTTTATTTGAAGTATTAGTGTAATAAATAAAAAGTTCTGATTTGATATAAAAAACTATAAAAAAATTGCTTTATATATGTTTTTTTAAACAATAGAGATTAAAAAAAACAAGAGCAAAACAAGTTTATAAAAAAATGTCAACGTGTCATTTTTGTCAACGTGGCAATTTTTTTTTGGTGATATCATTTATGACTTTATATGGTAATATAAAAGAAGTGTCAATTATCATTAATGATACTAAATATAGTCTTTT